TTGATGAACAGTTTAATTACAGATCCAAAGAAAAATATTAAAAATAAAACCATAAAAATATGATATTTAACCCTAGATATACACTGGGGTCCCCGGGACCCCAGCCAAAGTTTCTCGGTTTGGCATTTCTAAAATTGGAAGGGGAGGGGTTTGGGATTTTCTCATTGTCAGTAAGAAGACGTGTTGACGCGCAGCAATTGTCACTCAACAACCGAGCAGTGAACAGTTGAACTTTGAAGTAAGCGTCCCCGGAACTGCTTGCAGTTTTGTTAAAAAATTAAAATATTGGATCGCCAAATTTTTTTGTTACTATTTCAAGTATGCCCTTTTTCAGAATTTTCAAGAATTTTTTAAATCGATCTATAAACAAAAGAGATATGATTTTTTGAAAAAGGTGCTAAATCGAGATTTTTTTGCGTTTCTGAACTTTCCTTTTTCTTTGAACCCGTATATCTTGGAGCTCCTTAATTCTATCGAATTTTAAACATTATGGGCTTGTTCTTTGGTCGATTCTCTATCGATTGTAAAAAAATTAATTGAAATATGTCCATTTTTACTAGAGATACAGTAATAAATATGGATGGGGTCCCCAGGGTGTATACCTAGGGTTAAAATTGACAAACATTTTATTTTATTTTTCTACAGATAAACTTGATGTCAATTATGGCATCACAGATTTATTTGGTGACAGGTAAGCTATAACGGTGCACCCCGTAATGCGTACCATTCCTCGACCGAACAACAGTCGAAAAGCCGGTTGGAAATTTATTTCTCCGGAAAAATACCGAATATTCAGATTCGAGTCAAGACGGTGTACCCTTTATTATTTTATTTAATTGTTAGCGTGTAAACACTCGGCGATCGCGTTGGGTGAGCGATATACGGTATATCAAGTAAGCGGTGTAGCCAAGAACGGCCGAAAATATCTGAGCATTGCGCAGATCATTAGCGCACGTAATATTAATTGTTTAATAGCAATTATTGTTATAATCAAAAATATTCGACTGTAATTATAATTATTTTACACACCACCAAACGCCAAGTGCTGCGATCCTGATACTGTTTCACATAAGATGACGAAACTTGACGAACTGATTGTAAGTCAGATTTCCTCGTGCGAGTGTGCTTATTGCACCGTCTAGAAACTCTAGATTGCACATTCTGATCTCAAGTTCACGAAACTCTACAACATGACGAGAAAAGATGATGAAGAGCTACTCACCACCGCCAGCTGCTTCTGGTAATCATGCATAGAGCAAAGTCAAATCGCATTGCTAAATGAGATAAGGGCGTTACTTGCCTTTGTCGGGAACTACCGGCCTAAGTTTTACTCCGTACTAGATAACGATACATATACTTCAAGAGAATCCGAGTTTCAAATCTAATTGTAAGCTCCATCTGATATCCCGCTGTGTCTCACACGCGTAAACGCCGCGACGTAAACATTCACATGTGTGAGGACTTTTAAATCAGCCTTTTAAAACCCACGCTTTCTAAATACATGCGTAAAACGAAAAAGTACGGCACAACGCATAATCTAATTCTTGTCAGTAAAATTATTATAATCGTTAATCATTCAAAGTAACAGCTAATTAATAAAATGTTAATTATATGTATTTAAAATATTAAAAATAAATAGTAAAGATAGGTAAACTTAGCCAATTGTACATACAAAATGTATTATTGAAAATTATTATATTCTTACGTTATTAGAAATTTTTGGCGGTGAATAAGAGCTGTTGTCGTTTTTGTTTGCTTGAATATATGTATCTTGAATTTCGTTTACGCTTCCTTCTTTGTTTAATTCATATATCTTCCAATGCAGATGACTGTCTGATAAAACTTCACATTTTTTTCAATATTTTGTTTGCTATATCAAAATCATCTATAATTAAAAATGGTTAAAAACTAATTAAATAAACATAATCTATTTTTGCATTAAAATTCATCAATTATAAACAATAATAGAAATTGTAATCATTATACATAATGATTGACAATTCCTATTATTTTGATAATAAGCAACAAAGTAACAATAAGATTATGTGTAATACATACCTACCAATAGAAAATCATGTTCGATGTCATATAACTTCTATGTCTCTTTGTTTGGTTCTTCTTCTCCAAAAAAATTGCCTTTTTAAATCGTGTATAATTAGTTTTGTACGGCCATCAAACTTCTTTCTTTCGAGATGTTAACCATATGCGATGAACTAAAGCGATTAGTTCTGATGTTTGTTCGGCATTGCTAATGAATTTGTCACCAACAAAAGCCATTTTTCTACTAAAAATAGATTAGAAAATAATAAATTAATTAATACTTAATTAAAAATTTATTTTACTATATTAAATATTATAGGTGTATAATTAACAAAGTTTCTGACGTTATTTATCAAAACATTTTTATTTGCAAAAAAAACAATATAATTGTTTTAATCAAAATATTTGCTGTTTGCATCAACCATCTTTTGTCACTTGCAGGCAGCATACGAATGCCACAGTGAAAGAATGTTTCGTTTTTTGACAAATATAATATGTATGTACAAATCATCGATGAAACAGAATGATACTACAGAACTTGGCCTTCGCGCTAGTATCCCTTTAAAATTTCATAACTTTTGGAAATATTTTTTTCCAAACTTTTTACGAGATATTTAATAGTTGCAAAATATTGTATATCATTTAATTAGAATATACATTTTTTTATTGCATTATAACAGATATATATTTAGAAATATAATGGCTGGTCCTTATACGGTTTTAAAATCATATTTTCCTTTTCTGCAAAAAATATATATAAATTACGTATTATGTATAAATAATAATATTTGTAATAATACTATACAAAAATAAAAATAAAAAATATTAATTAATATCTTACACATTGTTTGCGTTGTATCCAACTGGCTGATGCTCCTCGCCCTCGCATTGAGAAAGATCTTTACATGTCGCCATATATTTGTTAGGATTTTTCACCGTTTCTATATAATACTGGATTGCTGATGTGTGACTGCAAAATTCTTATGGTAACAAGAAGAATCATTAGATCAAAGAATTAATGATTTTATTCTTTAAGGCCCATTTTCACAATGTATGGTTACCTAAAGGTTAAAAATTATCAAGAAGTTTATTGTTTAACAACGTTTGATTAGGACTAAACCATCAAGTTAACTTGATGCTAACTCAATTGCTGTACACGTAACTTTTAGTTTATTTGGTTATAAGCTTATGAAAATGTGTTTTAATTAACTTTCAAGTTTTAGTTAACCTAGGCCTAACTTTTTCGCTAATCATAAGTTATGAAAATGAGCCTAAAACTTTATCTTACATTGAATTCAATGTTTCAATTTTTTAATTTTATTTTCCACGAAATTATAAACTACTCGAAGTAGTAAATTATTATATAACAAATAAAATATATGTATATCTTATAATTTTCAAAGATTCTCTTAAACGTCGCTAGCAAAAATTACTATCGAATAACTATTTAACGAGGACAAAAATTAATGTTCATTGTGATTTGATAATATTATTTGATATATATTTTCAGTTACATTGGTTAACAAAATTGGGAAGTAACACGTTGTTTGTAACCTTGTTACCGTTATAGTTACTTTTTTTTAGTAGCAAATTATTAATGATATTATATTATTAAATTATTAATGATATTATATTTTTTTATTAGTAATAATAATTAATGGTAACGCAATTATATTTATTGAGTAATATTACCGTTATATGTATAATCGTTACACGGAGAGAATTTTCTTTTAAAATTTATTTTGAAAATTATGTTAATTGTGGGACAATATAATATTTCAACAAATTTTATGTGATTTTCTCTTTTTTTTTTGCTGTTGTCCCTCGATTAACATGATTTTCAGAGTAAATTTTAAAATAAAATTCTCTCCATGTACTTTTGTCATTATTTTGTACACGTACAATACATGTATAAAACGTGTATAATAAAGTTCATCAAAATTTAGTAAAAAAATATTGAAAATTATAACTCCGTATCTTTAAATAACAGTAACGCTAATGAGCTACATTTTCTAATGAGCAACGAGTTTCTTTTCCAATCCTGATTATTACCTTCAAGAGTCAGACTGAACGGAAAAATAGATAAGCCTGATGGACACTTGGGTTGAAAACGATGGCCTCCATTTGCGAAGAAATGTGCTGTTGCTGTCTCTGGGGAATCATCAGTAGTGCCATATAAACCCATGTCCGTATGGATCACATCGACACTTAGCGCATTGTCAGACGAAAGATAACATCCCGCGAATAAAGAGGTAAAAGGATTCGCAGGATCCAATCCTTTACAAACAATAATTTCACTTTGAAGAACATTTTAGAATAGCAACAAACATTTTAGAGTTACACGCGTGTGCATTATGCAAAACTAAAGGTTACAAATTGGCGGATTTCTTGCCAACTTCTCGTTAATGTGACAATTAAGAATAAACAGGAAATAAAAAAATATTATTGTAGTTAGGATCAATTATTGAAAATAACAAAAAATGTTAAATATAATAATAAAGCACATGCGTTTTAAAAATGTAAGATAATTTACCTGTGATACGAGGTATTTTGAAATCCTTACTGCATCTACCAGCGAGACCAGCTATGTGTGCGCCCGCTGAAAACCCGATGACATAAATTTGGGATGGATCGAGACCGGCTGCCATAAGTTTTCCTAAACATTTAGCGAATGCTTTTCCTGTTTTTTGGGCATTTGGGAAAACGGAAAACGGATAACTAAACAAGGAGTGGAAATCAGAATATTTGCTCCAATCAAGTACCACAACATTGTCCTTTCCTTCGTCACAGAGCGCTAATCACACAATTTCAATTTACAATTTAAATTTCAATTTACATAATCTTACATTGATTTCATAATAATCTATTATAAAAATTTAATACCACTTATTATTGACTTGGTATCATCGTGATCTGCAGATTGTGTAAATCCAAAAATGTAAAAAATTGTTCGTTTTGTATTGCTTAATGCATTTAATATATCTTCTGGCTCTGTAATTGAATAGGAGATGTACGCAAATGTTCCGTCACTGAAAACATGCTTATTTATATTATTACTGCTAATTATGAAAATTTTTCCATCGATATTAACCATTTATAATGGCGCAACTTGATAGCAGCCATGAACTCTGAGTCTAGATTTTCGTCACCTGGATAAAATACGGTCAATGATATTATCTTACTCGTTTACGTAATGTTAAAAAATATATAGAAAATAGATTGCATATTTACAAGAAGAAGAAGAACAGAAGAATGATTGGCCAGGCTTTATCCATATCATAAAACATAGTAGAATAAAAGAATAGACAATCAATGACAACATTTTAACTGTCAGTTAACAAATACGACACTTTGAGGCACGTTTTTTAATGTATCAATGTTCTGCGCAGAAACGCAGTTTATATCTGTGCCATCTCCACACAATCTAACAATAAGCGATGATGAAACAAAAATAATTATAGCAATTATATGTAACGCACGGCAATGGATATCCCCTACCCTGCGCCGCGCTCTAGGCGATGGCGTAATGGCTCAATTACCCCCACCATGCGCTGTTCGCTAGGCGACCGCGGTCCGCGGCAGGGGCCGTATCTCACCGTGCGTTCAGATTTGGCGATTTTTATAAATTAACATCTCGATAATTAATACGAAAATCGCAAAATGGTAGAGGAATTTTCTGTTCAGTTTGGCCCACTCCACCTGCCCACGAACGCTTTATCATTAGCAGACACCCTGTATATGTTTCTTCTCTCTGTAAAATTATCATTTGGCGCTTTCTGTGCCATTTACTGTATACTTTCAGCAATATAACATGTATGATTATTTACATAAAAAAGGATTGTTATATAAAAATTTAAAAAAGAGAAATTATATGTACATTTTTTTATATACATAATTTTTAATTTGTTTATTATCACTCTGGCTATTAAGATAAACATTTAATGGTTGTCAAGAACAAACGCGTTAAAACATAAAGATGCCCATAATTAAAAACATTTTTGCAAATCTATTCCTACTTTATTTGATCTTGTGATTCGTTAACAACAAAAATTAATTTTATCTGAAATTGTCGTCTTTTAAAAAAAAAAGTTATCTTACCAAAACTCTTTAAAAAAAAAAAAAAAAAAAGATTACGCCAAGTATATAAAACAGTATTGTACCTTACATCTTTCCTAAATCTAAATATTATTTTAACAAATAAAAATTGTCTAAAAATAAATATGAGATCATACAAATTGCCAAGTATTTGATTAGACATACAAACAAAAATGATTTTTCAATAAACCGCTTAACCATCCAAAAGTATGCAGCAAAAGTTTAATGTCATTGTTTTTTCAAATATTTTTAAGTTTCATAAAACAGGCTTAAAGTAACTATTTTGACTAATAGGATCAAAGTGAAGGAAGAACTTGGCGTGCCCGTTTTCTATATACATCAATTAAATTATTAATGCAATCCGGGCACGCCAAGTTTTTGCTTCACTGTGATCCCATTGGTCATTTTAGTCACTTTAAGCCTGTTCTATGAAACTTAAAAATATTTGGAAAGACTGCATTAAACTTTTGCTGCATACTTTTGGATGGTTAAGCGGTTTATTAAAAAATCATTTTTGTTTGTATGTCTAATCAAATACTTGGCAATTTGTATGATCTCATATTTGTTTTTGGACAATTTTTATTTGTTAAAATAATATTTAGGAAAGATGTAAGATACGATACTGTTTTATATGTATACTTGGCGTAATCTTTTTCTTTTTTAAAGAGTTTTGGAGAGTAGAACCTCACTACTTTTTGGTAAATCATTTAAATTTGTAAAATGAAATATAGAAAATATTTTTGGTTTTATGGCTTATATATAAAAAAAGCACCGCAACGTTTGAGAATCTTAGTACTGAAGGCGGTTAATGACGTCACATGCTCTTTTGTAGATTCTGATTGGACGAGGAGAACATGTAACATTATTAATCTCTTCCGAAGCGATCAAACCCATATCGTCTGAAAATTATTAAAAAGTTTTTATTAAAGGTCTCACTATTTTTTAATAAACTTTTAAATTAGTAAAATAAAATATTATAAAAAATATATATGATTTTATAATTTACTTGTTAAAAAAATATTTCTGTTTAAAAAAAGATGTAGCATACGTTTTTTTATATTCAGCGTAAATATTTTTTCTTTTTTAAAAAAATGTCTTTGTTTAAGTTAACAATTACTACAGAAACAGATCTCAGATATCATCATTAAATAACGCGTTATAAATGGATAACGTGAGAGATTTAGAACTTTTTCCGAGTTATTAGTATTAAATAATAATTACGAAACAAGTGGATTATCGATATTTTTACTCGATTATTAAATAATAGATTTTAAACAATTGCAATAATTCAGTTTGATTTCTAAGTCTTAATTAACAATTACTGTACAAACAGATCTCAGATATTGTTGTTAATTTATTATAAATATTAATTAATCTTAATTAACAAGTTTCAAATATCATCATTAATTTGTTATAAAAGATATCGCGTTAAACATTTTATTATTTGTATTCACAAACAACAAAGATGAAATGATGATACGTAAGGACACGTTATGTTTTCGAACGGCGCGCGTAACCTGACATAAGAACACATCTTAGCTGCGTTCCGCTAGAGTCCTAGATTATCAGAGAAGCGCGACCGGCTTATGGCAATATCGCAAAAGTACTAGAAAATATTAAAAATGGCGTCAAATGGCCAATTATAAGTTTGATTTATTCGGCAGCCATTTATAATAGCGATAAATCAATCTTATGATTGGCCATTTGCGTGTCCAATCAGGACTCGTAACACCGGTCGCGCTTCTCTGATAATCTAGGGCTGCGTTCGTTTTGGCGCTTACAGCGCTCACAATATCATTTCATCTTTGTTGTTTATCAAATGTTAAACAAGGACAAATAATGCTTATAAGCGCTGTAAGTGCCAAACCGAACGCAGCCTAGGACTCTACGTTCCGCAAAGCGCATCATGCACATAATTTATCCTTTTATCTTTGTTTAACATTTGATGAACACAAGGATACCATGATACATCATGCGC